TAATTTTGTGCTGAAATGTATTTTATGTTCCCTTATGGAACACAAAGCTGATTGGACGGTTGTATGCACTAGATAGAGTTTTTTTTTAAAATAAGGACTTAGCTAGGCATATCTGACTATGATAAATGTAATATGTCTGCTACTAACAAGTTAACAAGATGGCTCAATGAATGAAACACTTGTCATGTAAGTGTGAAGACCTGAGTTCAAATCTCCAGGATGCAGGTAAAGTCATACAGAGTAGTGAAAGCATCTGTAATCCCAACTCTCCTGTAGGGAAATAGGGGAAGAGACAGGTGAGTCCCCAGAAGCTCAAAGGCTGCCTAGCTTGAAATATGCAGTGGGGAAAAGCAACAAGAGATCCTATCTCAATCAAAGTAGAAAGTGAAGAGCGATACCCTAGGTTGTCCTCTGATGTCCACAGTATATCATAGCATGTGTGCACTTGTATTGACACATGAATGTATGTACATACACAGTGCATACACATAACACACAGATTAAAAAGCTACTTACATAAACACGGTTAAAATTTATTATTCATGTAAGGAAGTTTTCCCAGTAAATTTTACTAGTGTGAAACATCTAACTTTTTAACCATCCCATAAATAAAACCATTGCTGTAGTGAATTAAAAGACTCTTCCCACTCTAAAAAACAAAACCAAAAACAAACAAAAAACCAGATTCTTAGTTTAGAGCAGGAGTTAGGTGTTCTGATTGATTTTTTCAGGCAAAATGAAGAGCTACATAGAAGTTAAAATTCAACTGATGGGGGTTAGTGAGATGGCATAGTGGGTTGTGAAGATGCTTGCTGCCAAGCCTGATAACCTGAGTTCTATCCCCAGGAACCACTTTGTAGAAGGAAAATACAGACTCCCACAGTTGTCTCTGACCTCCACTCATGTGAAGGTGCTCACACACAAGTACACACAAACACACACACACACACACACACACACACCAAATAGAAATTACAAACAAAAGTGATGGAACATTTGCTTTCACTCAGGAAGACTATTTTAGGGGCACTGTATGAACTGGATCTTGAGGGATAGATACATATGCAAATGGAAAGGGGGCAGTAATCAGAATGGATTCAGGGAACTTGAGGATAAGAGTAGAGAAAAAAATAGAGTTAATGAAAAGCGAATGACAACAAATGGTCCCATGTGGTTGAATCAGAGTGTGCATGAATTGGCATTGTAAGGGAGATACACCACACTAGACGACTCCATTGAGACCACATCATATGAGCTTTTACACCTACACCAAAGGGTCAGACTTGAGTAATAGAGAGTAAGTAAAGACTGCTGAGCTAGACATACCAACACATGCCAAGAAACAAACAGGAGGATGAATTTTGATGAAACTTTAAGGAGATATCTTTAAAGATACAACACTTTAAGGGAACTTGGTAAAATGAACATTAAGGATACTGGATGTTAGGTTATGGGAATATGGCAAGGAATTATGAAAGCAGCATGAATATGAAAAAATATTTTGATAATGGAAGACACCAAGGAAGTAAAATCTACTTGATTGATAGTTGAGCACTAAAGTGTTGAAGACTGACTCTGTTGCTACTAAAGCATGTGACCTGAAGAGTTGTGATGCCATTAACTGTGATTTGGAACACTCTGGACAAGGAACCAGTTTTAGAAAGCTGCAAGGCACTGGGGAAGAAGAGATATAGAATAATGCCTAGGGTATATAGAAAATAAAATGTTTATGGGGCCGGGGAGAAGTTGGTAACGTGCTTGATTTGCAATCCTAGCATTGGAGAAGCAGAGACAAGAGGATCCTTAGGGCTTGCTGGCCAGCCTACCTAACCCAACTGGCAAGCTCTAGGTTCATTGGGAAGACTTGTCTCAGAAAATAAGGGGGAAGGAAACTGAGGAAGATAGCTTTATATTGAACCTGGCCTCCCTATGCATATACACATAAGAACATACCCCCAACACACATGCATGAGCACATGCGCATATGTGTGCATACACACACACACACACACACACACACACACACACACACACACACACACACACACCACACATGACAAAAAGAGAAATGTCTTTTATATGATTGGAAGTGTAATTCAGTCAACTTCATTGTTAGACTATATAAAATATGTATGAATATGGATTGTGGGGATAGAAACACAACCTCGATCCTGTTGTATACAGAATGTACATACTTGACTATCTTTATTTTTAAATCAGACCACAGTGGCTAGTCTGAGTAGCCAGTTCTGGTACTGAGTCTGAATCTTTTTTTTTTTTTTTTTTTGGTTTATTGAGACAGGGTTTCTCTGTGTAGCTTTGTGCCTTTCCTGGAACTCGCTTTGTAGACCAGGCTGGCCTCAAACTCACAGAGATTCGCCTACCTCTGCCTCCCGAGTGCTGGGATTAAAGGCATGCACACCACCACCCGGCCTGAGTCTGTATCTTCTAAGAGTGGTAAAAAATAGTAAAACTATTTCCACTACTCAGAAACTTATTAAAAGGCCTCATCTATGGTGTAAAAAGAGATCTTTCAAATGGTAATATATTCCAAACTTGACTTTTAAAATTGTCTGTGCTGTCAAATATTATACATATTACAAGATCACATTATGTAACTAATGAAAACTTTACAGTCAGATGTTTTCCTAAGAGATGGCTCATAGGAAAAAGACAGAGAAGTCTATGTTTGCCTTTCATGGCTAGAATTTAAGCAAAAATAAATAACAAAAAATGAGCTACTTTCCTGCTAAGTTAACAATTCGGGAAATTTGGGTTATGTGTTTGCTTTAGATGTACATGCAGAAAATGCTGTCTACACTTTATACTCCCTTTACTTCCTATACCTTTTGAGATTTTTCTCCATGGAAATAAGACTGTGAGTCATTCACTTCTATCAGTCTGAGTGGCCACACATTAGTCAGTAGGAGTCAGAAGAGTTTAACTATCACATGTAAATAGTCCTTTTGGAGCTTTAACTATCTGTCGTGATGGATTGGAGAGATGCTTTAGAGGTTAAGAGCACCCATTGCTTTTCCAGAGGACCCAGACTTGGTTCCCAGACACATGGTGGTTTCTAACTATCTGTTATTCCAGTTCAGGGAATCTGACAGTCTCCTCTAACTGCACTGCATGAACACTGTACACATAAAGACATTCAGCAAACACTCATATGAATAATTAAAGTGATAAAAGGATTTGTGGTGATACCTTTTGCATATATTAGGAGAGGATCCTACCCACTGTACTGTGACGTATTTCTATGAGGCTTAATCCTTTAAAGTCTTTTGCTACTAGGAGCTGTGAATTTTAAGGATTATTTGGGTTAAAAAAATCCTCCAGTTAAGATTTTTTTTTACTCATAATCATTAAAAGTGGCAATACTATTTTAGTATTGTCCATTTGTGTTTAAATTCTAGTCTAAAGGTCTTTCAGAGTCTTATTTGTGGGTGGTTGTTTATTCCAGACTGGAGTTTGATCATTAACCTTGAGTAGTACCTTAACCTAGTATCAATAGGAGGTTTCTCTGGTTGGCAATATATTAACATTCAAAGAACCCTTTTTTTTTTTTTTTTTTTTTTTGCTTAAGATCATTCATCCTGGTTCATAAAAACTAGGAGGATTATAAACCTTGATAAGCATTGGAATGGCTTGAACAATAAGACATTCTCAGATCATTGAGAAAGATAAGGTTTCTTTTGCTTTTCTAACCAAATGTGTTTGGGAGTAGAAAGGAGGTTATTATGGATTTGAGGCCTTTAGTAACAATCATAGTGTAAGTTGTCCTTAACTGGTGGTAAATAGAAACAAATACTTCTATCCCTTCTCTTGGTTATCTTCCTTGCTAACCTGAACAGGTCCATATATGAAAACTTAGAGCTCTTGGAGCAAAATGCCTGCCTGCCTGCCTGCCTGCCTGCCTGCTTTCTTTCTCTTTCCCTTTCTTGTAATAACCGTTAATTGGATGAAGCCGTATCCTTCTCTTCTGTCATTTTTTTCTTCTTTACTTTGCTTCATAGTACATTAATTGGTACAGAATATTGAATTTCCTTACAGCATTTCATACATGTCTAAAATGAACTTTGTATTGGCTTACCCATTACCCTCTCTTCCTTTCACAGGTCTGCTTCTCCTTCCCAAACAGCCTGTGCAAATTATATATTATCTTTGGAGATATAGAAAAATACCACATCGTAAACATGTGTGTGGGCTGTAAAACATTTTATGCACATTATTTGTCTCAAATCCCTATCTTATTATATAAGTCTTTGTATATATTAATATTGAGTATATATGATAATCTGCCTCCTTATAATTAAAAAGAATGCATCTACATATTTTAATATTTCTTAGGAGGTAAGTTCTATTGTCTACCAGCCAGTGAACTATTTATCATTAAGAAGGCCTTCATGAGGCCGGGCGGTGGTGGCGCACGCCTTTAATCCCAGCACTCGGGAGGCAGAGCCAGGCGGATCTCTCTGAGTTCGAGGCCAGCCTGGACTACCAAGTGAGTTCCAGGAAAAGGCACAAAGCTACACAGAGAAACCCTGTCTCGAAAAACCAAAAAAAAAAAAAAAAAGAAGGCCTTCATGAAATTTGCATATTGGGGTACTTTCTCAGGTCTGTACTCCTGGCTACTCAGGAGGCTGAGGCAGAAGTACCTGAGTTCCAGGCTTGCCTGGGGAGCAGAGTAAGACCTCTTCTCAAAAAAAAAAAAATGCAAATTAGGCCTCAAAGGTAATACTGTTGAATTATGGGTAATGTTGTGTGTGATGCTTTCCTTTAAACTTACGAGCTCCTTAGATCCATGACTAAATCTTATACGTGGTTATAACCCTTATGTCTTTTGAATATGTAGTAGGTACTTAATAATGTTAATTGAATTATAATACATCCTTTTCTATCATTAGGTCTGATTTTCAATGTTTGAAATCATCCATTAAAATTGCATTTTTATATTAAGAACCTCAAACTAAAACTGAATTCCTGTTTGTTTACAGGTGCAGGAGACATTGTTGCAATCATGATTGGCAATCTAAAAGGAACAAAAATTCTGCAGTCCATTCAAAGAGGCATACAAGTAACAATGGTCATCGAAGTAGGGAAAAAACATGGCCCCTGGGTGAATCATTATTCAATTTTCTTTGTTTCCGTGTCCTTTTTTATTATTACGGCAGCAACTGTGGGCTATTTCATCTTTTATTCTGCTCGAAGATTACGGAATGCAAGAGCTCAAAGTAGGAAGCAGGTTTGTAATGCTCCATTTTTCCCAATTTTAAAATAGTTTTTACTGTTTCAATTATAGTTTGAGTTTCATGTTTATTCATATACTTACTAGACAAGATCTATGCATATGTTTTATGAAATCTAGTCATTTTAAAAGTATAGCAGTTTCCATCATCTCAAGTCCTATGTTCTGTCATTTGTCAAAGCAGTTAATCCTGATTGATTAAATCTTTTAACACCTAAGGGAGCACAGCCAACATTTATTTATAAGTTACTGTAAATACATATGTTGCTTTAAATGAACTGTTTTTCTAAATTATAAAATCATTTCACACTCAAAGGAAAAAAAGAGACATTATAAATTTCAGATGAAGAAATCTTCATAAAACCAATATAAGTGTTGTCGCTTCCTGAAGGTAAATGTACGTGTGTATGTGTGTGCACATATTTGTGTGTGTGTGCATTCGAGAGAGAGAGAGAGAGAGAGAGAGAGAGAGAGAGAGAGAGAGAGAGAGAGAGAGAATTTGTATGTGGGAGTGGAGGTAAAAAAGAAATGCTGAATTTCACGACAATGTAGGTTTTATTACAATTATCTGTTGTGTGTGTGGACGGTGGGCATGTGCATGCCATAGTGTGCATATGGAGGTCAGAGGACAATTTGCCTGTACCCTCCTTCCATCATATGAGTTCCAGGAATTGAACTCATGTTGGGACTGGACGCAAGTACCTTTCCTCCTTAAGTCGTCTTACCAGCCCAAGGAAGGTTTTAAAATCTAATTGTTCATGATACAGTGTTAAACTCCAAACATACGGCATGTTCCTAATTTTTAGTATATTTTGACATCAATGCTTTAAAAAGTACAAAGTGTGGAAATGATAGAAGAAAACAGCCAGAGGCTTATAGAACAGGGGAGTGCCTATGATTCTTTATCCCTGATCCTGGCATCTGTAAACCATCTTCACCTCTTCCCATAGCCTCACTTCTCTAGTTCATCACCTCAGATTCTGTGGCCATTCAGATGCATACATCTTCAGTTCTCTTGTGCTTTCACTGTCTTGTTATTGAGTTATCCATTTGGCATCCATAGGGGATTGGTTTTAGGATCTCCTGTTGTATACTCAAATCCATAGGTGTTCATCTCTTACGTAAAATGGGAGAGTGTTTGCACATAACTTAGCATATATGTGTACTTGAAATCATGTCTAGATTACTTATAATAGCTGATACAATGTTTATGCCATGTAAACAAGTCTTATGCTATGTTCTGTAGGGAATGACTGTCAGAAAAACTCTACACATATCCAGGAGAGATGCAGTTTTTTATTCTGAATATTTTCAATCCAGGGTTTGCTAAATCCTTACACATGAAGCCTATGCATATGCAGGAGTAGACATACTTTCTGGCAAATTCAACCCTGGTTAAATCCTAACGCTTAGCTAGTCTGTGTCTACACCTTGACTTGCAGAAGAGCCAAAAAATAGTTGTAGCTACACTGGCTTTAAATTTATGATCACAGTCTCAGAGTAGACCATTAATACTACCCATTAATTAAATGTTTCCTTAGCTATTTACTCTCTTACATTCCTTGTTTTTAAGTTTTACAACTTAAGTCACCAATACATCCTTCAACTTTACTGTCTAATTATATCTGATTCTACCAATAAAATGGAAGCAATCCAAAGAGTAGTTCTACATTGCTCCCTCTATCTGTATCTGTGTTTAGATCCTGCTCCTCTTCCATGTCTTCTATTTCAACAGATATTTTCTGCAGCAGCCAACTTTTCCTAGTATATAGGCTCTCTCTATCTTTTGTGTACTCAAGGCTATCATTCCAGCAATTGTCCTCTACCTACTTTTAGCGATGTTTCCTTTTCCTTTGGTTCTTTCCAATCAACACTGTCCTTCATTTCTCCTTCTCTCTCTCTCTCTCTCTCTCTCTCTCTCTCTCTCTCTCTCTCTCTCTCTCTCTCTCTCTCTCTCCTCCCTCCCTCCGACTCTCTCTCTCTCTCTCCCCCTCCCTCCCTCGGTCTCTCTCTCTCCCCTCTCCCCATATATCCTTCATGAACAAATGCTGTTGATTTTATGGTCACTATACATCTAGATTATAATTATTGAACTGCTTCCATTCCTCCTTCTTTCCTGGTCCATTGCTACTATCATTATTTTCTCTTCCCTTCAAGGATTCTCAATGTAACAACAGTGTTGTGCCACTTCTCCATAATGTCCAGCTTGTATCTAATGCTTTCAGGTGATCTTGTGGCAGAAGCAATAGAATGTGTTTTTATATAATCTGAGAAGTTACTCCAAGGCAGTGAAGTTTTGGCCACTTTGTGTACTAATTCTCCAAGAAGCAAAGAAGACCTCAGTGTATTGAGGACTGGGAGCAACAAGATTTTTGTATAGTGAGAAGGTTAATTGAATTTCACAATAGATGAAAAGTTTGCATTTTATTATAAAACTTATATAAAAATCAGATGCCACCATATATTAATGCATGGTGATCATCAGAATGTTTAGAATTAATTGACTTCTGTCCCCTTCAGTGAAGGAGCTTATCACAATGGCTGCAGGTTCAGCATGTAGCTAGCTATGGTCAGAAGGATGTTTAGCATTCCTATGCCAGGCCACTCAGTAGATTCACACTGTGTTAATATTTGACATTTGTGTATTATGCATTTTTTATCTCTGAGGTTGGAAAAATGCTGTCACGTATGACTAACTATTCAAAGGTTATAGTCACAATGAGGAGAGTGGTTTTTGTATGTCCACAGTAGGATCCGTGTTTCTCTATTCTAACTGCTCTAATAAATCTCTAAACTCCTTTGCCAAGTAATAAGGTTTATTCCTAGCTTTTAAACAACAGAAATAAATTATTCACAATTCTGGAGGCAGGAGTAAAGGGTTTATAAAGAACTTTGCTTGGTGATGCACAAGCTTCATTGCACATTTAGGCCTAATCTTTTCTTTCATTTAAGCAATTTTCATAGATTACAATATATTTTATGAAAGTTAACCTCTGTAGAATTTCTCAAGAATAGCATTAAAGCTTCTCATTTATTACAAAAGGCTTTTGGAAGATCCGCTTTTATACTTTATTGGATTTTATCTCTTTCTCCTTTGAGGATAAAAGGATTAAATATATGGGTAGCAGTCACTTTTGCTTATAAAGATTTGAGTGCTGTAATGTTACCCATTTATTTTATTTTCATAAGTTCAGATTTGTTGGTGAAAAGCTTCATGAACATATTTACAACTTTCACTGGACATTTAGCCACATTTTCTGCTTTGTACTAGTAGAAATGTTGATGAAGCTGTATTATGGAAACTCTCCCCTTTAGTAGAATATTAGGGAAGGCTGGGCGTGGTGGTGCATGCTTTTAATTCCAGCAGATTCCGGTGGATCTCTGTGAGTTCAAGGCCAGCCCTACTACATAGTGAGTTCTAGGCCAGCCAGGGTTACAAAGTGAGATCCTGTCACTGAAAACCAAAGCAAAAGAATTAGGGAAGATTATGTATCCAGAGATATCTTCATTCTGAAGATTATGAAGCATAACAGTAAATATTATACAAATTTATCATGGTCTAAGTTTTGGTAATTATTCAGATGAGCCCTCAGGTGTAATTTCTTTATATGGTCATAGAAGATATTGAAGAGCACACATCATCCTGTTTTGGTGGGTGAAAAACTTCTAAACAGCATGAAAAATACCAGTGGGCTATGAATGAAAATAACATACTAAGCATTATTAGATTTGTTTCTACTTGAAACAACCTTAATATGAAGTAAAGAAGATTATGAGAAACCTCATGACACAATTACACTAAATACTAAACTACTTGTGGTAATGACCACAGTAAGGCTATAGAATACAGTACCCAACATTTGGAGGGAGGTATAGTGTATATATGCTGACGTTATCTAAGGCAGTTGATACTCAGTGACAGCTTACACTGAATTAAATACTACTAAATGAAACAAATGAGGATACTCGGTAAAATAGGGGCTAGAATAGGTATAGCAAGAAAAGCTGGATTTATATTTACTTTTTAAAAGATAATTTTCAAGATTATAAATAATTACATCATTTTTCCCCTCAAAATCCTCCCATGTAGTTCTCTTTGCTCTTCTTCAAATTCATGGCCTCTTTTGTTTTCACATATGTGTGTGTGTGTGTATGTGTGTGTGTATATATATAACTATATATATATATATATATATAAAACTATATATATATTCCTAAATGCATAACTATAACCTGACAGTCCATATAATGTTACTAGTATATATGCTTCCAGGGCTGAACATTTGATACTGGATAATCAGCTCCCTGGAGAAGATTTGCTCCCACTCTCAGCATCCCTTAGTTCTTTAAGGCCTGACAAGCTTTTCCCTTTCCACATTAGCATGCTATTGGTGTCAGCTTTGTACATTTACCCTTAATGAACAGTGATTTTAAGAAGAGTAATATGTAGTAATTAAAATAGATAGGAATGAATCATTTCCAAGAGCAGGAGAAAAATGGAATCCCTTGAACATGTAATGAGCCTTGATAAAATATTCACACAAATCAGAGTAGTTGAGATGTTCAGGAAACAATATAGAAGAGGAGCAGAGAAAGGGTAAGGGCCATAAGACAGGAAGGACTGTGAAAAGCCATCTTCTAGGTATCTTACAATCATGGTAGTAATGAACTCACAGCAACTACAGTTTCTTGTCCTGAGCATGCACAAGACTGGCCCTGTCAGCAGTCAGTCATGGATAGGGTAGGAGCTTATGGGGCCCTACTCATCCCTGATGAACTACTGTTGGCTATTGATAGATTTGGGGAAGGGGAGAGTCATTGTCTTCAGCTGCATACCCAGTGATAAGCTCACCAGGTTCTAGTGGATAGTTCCAAACCACCAGTCACACAGACATCCATGGTTAATCTCAGTGGTTCACAAAACAGGACCAAAAAACATGAATGTGGGAAGAGGATTGACAGATTTGAGAGGAGATAAGGGAGGGTGCAGGGAAAGA